ATACGATGTGTGAACCTGACCGGCGTATCTTGGTTTTTGTGGATTCAGTTATCCGATTAATAGGGGATTAAAGTAACACTTGTCAATAAATTTCTCCGAAAAACGGATCTCGTGCCAAAAGATACATCACATGTCAATCATTTCTAAACCCTGAAATCTGTGTTGCTTACTTCAGATACACAGTAGGATAATCTTTCTCCTTAAGTGCTGAATAAGAGTTATGGGATTCGATTTTTACACCCAGACATACACCGGTAGCTCTTCTTAAGGATTGCATGCCAACCCTTTTTTGGCCGAAGTTAGTTAAACCTCTCTTAGTGCACTTCTACACGTGGCGTGAATAGGATGAACTGGTCGCACTACTGAACAAAGCGAACAAAAACCCGGGTTCGAATACTCCATTATGCTCATCCGAGTCACAATGGATCTGCCTGACAGATTAAACGAAACCAGGAGGGTCCACACCACACGACGCGTGTCACACATACCAAGGTGAAATTCAAGTAGGGTAAATCGGCGATGTAGAACAATAGATGGAAAGAGATCGTGTACCCACAAAGCGCGTATCTATTGTTCTCACTCTGCCCGTATGAAAATGTCTGGATCAGGTTCCTTTCGGTCACTGGGCCACGACTGTCCATACAATACGTTTATCTGTTTGTAAACAGCGTCAAGAACCGAGTACTAATTAATTCGCGTTCACCATCATCATGAATTGGTGATGATTGTGGTCTAGTACTGGTCATAGGCGAGGACAGAAGTGGTGTGACTACGCACGTATAGTTTTTATCAGAACAATAGAATACTATTCATACGATGGGGACATAGTATGAGTTGGACGCGATATGCACTGAGTAGCTCAGTAGCGTGGGGTCTAACTGACATGCGCATCTAGCATAAAGTTTGAGCTCTATTGGGAATGATACCCGGATGTAGCGAGTACGTGCTAGCTTCCCCCTCCCCGGATCGAGGTGTCGACAAACCTGTGGGACAACAGAGTGCACACACTAGTTGTGGTAGTGGAGTGGCATAAATAGTTAACCGCAGACTAATAAGCATTGGTGTCAATTTATTCTAACAATGAGTAAAAAACCACAAAAATTTGCCAAGTCACATGGGGCATACTTCAATGGAGATAGGTGTACGAAGTTGGAGTTTGTACAAAATGTCCTGTTCGAGTGGTTCGTTCCCAACCAGAATCGAGCTACTATTGACGAAGGATTTGAAAAATTGACACAGTGAGTTGTCTTTCTAGGCAATATCTGTGGTGCTAAAAAATTATAGGAATCCTTGCCCCATGTTAGCATCTATCTAAACCTACGTGTCTGTTCACCCAGAAGGGTGCACTTTAGCCTACGGGTGTTCAATTTGTATACGAGTTCAGGCAGTTTCAAGTAGAAATTGCTTACCCGTTTGGATCAGCCGCTCAGTTCGGTAAGCGACTCATTATTCTTCGCTTATATTGTCCTAGGATAAAAAACTAATTAAACAGCAATCATTAGAAGATTTGAGCCGTTGAATAGAGGTTAATTACTGTAGGGCGTGCCACACTGATCCCCTCAGCCATAACCTAAAAGATGATACATCAGTGAGAGAGCGAGCGAGGGAGAGAAGCCACCAGGATGGTCTGTCTAAGGAGAATTAGCAGTAGTCCGGTTGCCTTTACCATCTAACTCTCTCTCTCGTTTGTGATGTTCCCGGGAAACTGATTGTTCTACACCAGGCCACATCATGCCTCTGTTACGATATTTGAGATATCGTAACACACTACTCATTCGGCTGGGTTCCAGGTGAGTCTCTCGCAAAACCAAATTTGCTTGCAAATGAGTGTATTTCGCTAACTTCGTGCAATTTGTTTTAAGTAGAACATAAGGTTGACGGAAACTCGGGGACTGTGTCTAACTGGTGAGCCCCAAGAAGGGGGAAACCAGTCGTGGACTGTCGAAGAATTTTCAGCAACCCTATGAGTAGTGCATTAAGAATGAAGTCCTCTTATGTAACCGACTGCAAGAGGAACATTATTGATTGTAAAGGGAACTGGAACCATTATCCTGTTGTGTGTCATGATCAGTGAGGCTGTCTGATCTAAACTGATTGAAAACAGTCTTGCTGCTCTCATTTCCACGAAAATACAATGGTTTTATAAGAACTGCCAACAGATGTTCGTATGCATCTCTAAATAGCCTTCAATATCAGATGTTGGATATCTGTTCAAAGTCAACCGAGGCACATATTTTCATCACTGGTTTTAGGAGACATGTACGAACTTCTTCTGCTTGCTGAACGCTGTTTGCAGGTCGGCTAACTCCGGACGAACTCAGATCACAAAAATTAATTAATAGAATACATCTAAAGTCCCACGGCCTTACTGTGGTAGTGCAGTACTCGAAACTTCTATGTTAACTGGCTGGGATCCTGCACAGACGAATGTAACATGTGTGTCTGAAAACATCCAGTCTCACAAGTTCAGAAACAAACCGTGATCATGCCAAAGCCTGACTAACTCCAAATAGGCTGTAAGGACCATAGAACCTACGATTGTATGGATGGACCTTCTCAGAAGAGTTGCCATTCCGAAGTATATAGAAATTAGTCATGGCTGAGGTTCTATAAAAACCAACATCTCCCCACTTTTTTACACTGCCATGTTTTTGATACCATACTTTATATGCTGTACAGAATCGTTTTATGCAGAGGACTTTTCGGTCAGAATTTTCTTCTGGATGTTTTCCCATTGGGTACTTTAGCTTTAGTTAAAATGGAAGCTCGTGCAGAAGATAATAAGGATGGCAAAACTGCCTCCACGCAAATGTGTATCTTTATTATGTATTCAAAACAGAAAAAAAGCTTTCTAAAGTGGTCCAACTCAAATCAAAGCATTCCATTTCGAACCGCGACTCAGTGATTCAGCGGGCTCACAGAAGAAAGAGAACCATGTACCAGTTACTGCGACGTAGTTGACTTAGAAGATAGGCTACTTAGTGGGAAGGAGCCTTGTCTGTTAGCAAGGGGTCCGAATTTTGCGATAAGCGAAAAAGAGACAAAGTTGGAGCAAAAACTCCTTTTGTTGAATCTCCTTCACAACTTTCTGTAACGGAGAGGCTATCGGTGTAGTTAATTATGGCCCAAGGGTATCAAAAAACCGGAAGCTCAGGATAACACACCCACAGAGCGAGAAGTGTTCGGATGCCTTAGAACAGATTTAGGGTAGATAGGGATAAGGTCATAGTTGTAATGCATAGAGAGGACAGTTCAGAATTCAGACCGTGAGATCTGACTAACAGATCAACAGTGGCATTTTAGATATCCATTGATATTGATAACTGTCTAGTTTGATAAACTATTCGGGGAAGGATATATTGTACTAGTGGTGTTTCAAGGACAAAGTCAGCGTTGGGGTATCTAGTACACATGGATGTTTTGAACTATTTCCGCAAGCTAGGGCTAACCGACCAAGTATAGGCTAGTGGCAGTTCAAGTAAGAGATGTCGGTATGGTCACAACCAGTGCCAAGGTGAATTTGTAAAATGGTGCAACTGCTCAAATAGCAACTTTCGTCTACCCCAATCAATGTAAACGTAATTCAGTGATTTTCTGATCTTCACTTTTGACCGTAATTTTAGTCGACAGATATTCGACAGTTAATCTTAATGTCCCGCAATTCACTGGTGTGAGGAGAATTCCTTACGGGATTATGTGACATGACTGTTCTGTCCTTAGCAGACTGAGTAAATCTGCTGCAGGAAATTCCAATTCAAGTGGTGTGATGGAGGTTTGTCTCCATCGACCCCACAGTTAATCTTTTCCATCAAAATTTTAGCATGGAGCACAAGAGAACACCACATTTGTGGACCATATGATACCAGTATTTGATGAATTGTCGTAAAAGCACTTCGTGGTGGTCCGTTTCCGAGTGTTGTGATGTTGTTGTTGCTGTTTGTGTCAACAACCGTCTCGATGAGGGTATGTGTGCAGCAGTTCAGAACACCGTTTGAACTACCCAGTTTGACCAATCAATCAGTCACCCAGTCAGCCAGCCAGTCAGTCAGTCAGTCAATCCAGCACAACGTGACTCCTCGGCCCAGCAACAAATGGGATTAAGCTATTTATATTTGCCGAGCTACGACGCCCTTGATTGCTGTGAATGAGCTGGTGTTGATGTGACACGAATACAAATAAACCACATCTGGCCAGCAGGGTTGCTGGACAGGGTATTATTAATGACAAACAGCCAGGAAGATGCGAAGTTTTTTCACTTTTGAGACATTTCGTCGGCGAATTGTGAGTTTAGAATGAATTCTCACATAGTACAGTTGTGGCTACGTGGACTGATAAAAACAACAGCTACAAGTTGATGTAGCAATTCCAAAGGAAATCCCAAACATGATAAGGGGATTTGTGAATTGACTCCAAATCGGTAATCCTTTTTTGTGCTGACGAGTAATGTGATGGGGTTTACGGTTTACATAACTAGGCGACTCAACAAGAAATAGAGCGCAATTATTCAGAAATCTGGCAATTCATTTCCCTAGACCCATTAGACCCCTGCAGGTAAAACTATAAAATCTCGCTACTTAATGATTAGTAGTAGTGAAAAGATAGTGAACGGGTGCTCAAAACAAAAGGCACCCTGGAACGTTGCTCTTGTGTTTCCTGTGTATAATGTTGAAGGCAGTAAAAAGAGATGGACTGTCATACGATACAAGGTGTGTTTAATAACCCATACAGGTTACTCACATCATGAGAGAAGGATGACTTAGGCCCCACCTCTTCAGTAGACCACCGTGTTCTACAGTATCCTATCTAGTACCTCAAATTTGTCAAAACCTGGCATGGAAAATAGTGTGGTCGCGTACTGATGAAATACGTATTTGTGGGGAATCAAATAAGATGTGCACGATCACATAGTTAATTTCCCAACCATGCACTGGCAAATGGTGACGGAAAGTTTCGTTTTTCTAGCCAACAAGCTTCAGGAACAATTACACGTATAATTACTTTTGGCAATGTCTTTTTTCTCTTTTTCTTATTATTTTCATCACTTCCAATAATAAATAATTTTGAGAACAAACGACTGGGACAGACGTTCAAACGGAATAATGGATTCGTTAAAAGACAGAAATTTCAATGAATAAGGAATTAAAAATAGAATTATTTCAAAAAATTACATAGCTGAAGTCCAAGATAAAGGATACAATGGGAAGGAGAATGATCTCAGCAGGTAGTGATGTCAGTGAGGTAGGATGCGCAAGTTTCCCGTAATGATCTTGTTCTCCAATTCGGCTTTTGGAGGAATATCGATCCGCTCGTTTTCTCTTGCAATGATGATCACTGTCCCCTGAAACCGTATAGGTTGTAAGCGGAATAGCGACTGATAATATTGACATTGGTTATGGGCTGTTTACACCAAATATATTTTCCTAGGCAACCAATGGACAAAAATCATACAAAACCCAGCCCGATATTGAAACCACTAGCAGGTGTCAGGCCAAAAAAGAAGCTTTTCAGTTGGCAGCAGGAAGATAAAAAGAACTATTCAGATAGGTTCTTTCTTACGGAGTAAACCATGTACTTAGAGAAGGGGCGCATGTGTACAAGCAGATAACCACTGAAGGTGCGTTTACAAAAAATTAACTAGTGGCTTTAACTTGGTCAACATCCGTTCTGTAGAGGTGTCATCCTCCTATGTTAGGGTCATTTGAGACTTCTAGGAAACGCTTGGAAAGCCCAGGAGATGAGCCTGGCTCTCGTTTGTTCACCGGACCGCCCAGTCGAAACGAGGATGTTCAGTAAATCTCATCGATGTCCAAGTGTGCTAAGTTTAATTTTGGAAGAAGTACACACGTTGCTGTTGACCTCTCCGCCGAGGGGTGCAATGCTTTTAGCACATCTTCATTTTACATCATAACACAACCTTTTTCATTGGCGTACAATAGTTTGGCGTCTGTATTTGTGACTGACATACTCATGCTTATGACGATGGTGATGGTAATGTGTTGATGCGAACTGCGCACTGATGATGTCTTCTCGTGTGCGGTGACGAAACGTTTGCAAGCCAACTGCCAAGCTCGGCGAACAGATCAACAGCCACCTGATCAACAACCAATAATGACGATGGTGTTGTTTCGCAGGGGAAGTGGGGGTACTGCACTCACTGGGTGAATGAAGACGCATGAAAAACGACAAGTTATTATGCCTATCAGTACACACCTTGCACCTACGGAGCTGCTAATAAAGACTTCCATCACACGTTGGAACTAGTGGTTTGCGGTCTAGCTGCAATGCGTACCAGTGGAGACAGGGCTGGGCTACAGTCTGCACATATTTCCGCCGGTCATCCAGGGTGGATGGCTGCAAACCGAATTTCGCTAAACAGGCTCACATTTTCATACGAGTCATCTGTAGCGAATTGAAGAAGGATTGTTTTCAGGTCACACTTAACCGTCAGCACTAGTTTCGGATTGAATGTGTATTTCATAACCCAGCTAATAAGTTGCAGGGAAGACAGTGAATCCGAACAAATCCCTGCATAGTTTGGCATTGTCAAGTTGGAGGTGGGCTGGAAAAATGGCTCAGTGTGATCAAATCCTACTTCTATAGTATAGTCCTTTAACATGTTCATAGATTCAATGGCTAGAAAGAAGATTTGGTGATGAACTGTGTGGAACACAGTATTGATCTTGGTCATGAGCACTTGTCATCCGTGGCATTCATGGAGACCTTCCATCCTCCCGTAAAAGTGAGCCGAGTGCAAGCTGTTCTTGGGTATGTGGTCCATGATCCGCAAAATATCCAAATAGCAGTCGTCGAACGACGAAGTTTATCCAAGAATGAGCTACTCTATTACAGTAATGATGTTAACAGATTTACAAAACTCAAACAAGGGGCAACCCCACGCCAAACGCTGGACCAACGTGATGAACCTATCAAGATGGAGAAGCACTACCTGAGTCCCAAGTTCATCAAACATACTCTAAAGTGTAAAGTCATCGAAATTCACGGTTATTCCAAAAAATGCCACCCAAGCACAACAAAGGCCTATAAGTTTACAAACCACAAAATATGTAAATTTCCGACAAGTGCAAAATTTTCTGCCGAAATATGAAGCAAAAACTATCGACCATTATAGCCATCAAAAGGGAAGAGGATCCACAACGGATCCATGGTCACATTTCAAATGGATGGAAAGTTGTCACTTTGTCACAGCAGTACTCAAAGTGCTTGTCCGAAAAAAGACAAAGTCAATAGTTTGTGAAAAATAAAGCACAGAAATATTAGTGGACCCGATGGACTATGGAGTAAGCGAACAAAATAGGCATTACATAATGATCCAAACGTATTTACCATTGGTGATTGATAAGTGTGAAGGTTAAGCTGGCTAGCTAACAGTAGCTGTCTCAGAATAAAGTGCGTTCAATTATAAGGTCTTAAAGCTCCACCTGGCCTGTTCGTACCAAATTTCATAATCACATTCTAGTCTAATGACTTGCCTCTGAAGGGGCACAAAAATGGTCGTAATCGGTAGGAAACCAACGGAGAAATAGACTAAACGAGCGCGGTCCATATCGAAGAGAAAGGCGAGAAAAATTTCCCAAGTAGATGTTACAGCGAGAATGTGAATCAGGAGACTGAGTTAATGCAGAGAGCACCAATAAACAGCACTGCGAAAAAAGGCAAACTTAAATCCAGAAAAGCCGGTAGTCCCGGTTCCGATGGTGCTCTATTCTGAAGGATAACTGTGAATGAAGTGTAAGGAACATTCAAGATGAAAGAGAGTGCTTTGAAAACTTCATGGAAGATACGAAAGCATCAACGCTGTTTGGGGAGCAAAACGAACTGACCTTGAGTTTCACGTTTTTTCCAAAGTGCACGTCTCCAGAAACCGTTAAATGGTCTAGCTCGATCACATCTGGAATCGTACGAAGGCGTTCCCGGAAGTCTTTGATCTGACTAAAGTGTTTTCCTAGCTTCACCAGGGGAAGCGTTGGAAAATTGCGCTTAGGTGATGGTATTAGGCGACCCTTTTCCAAGTCATACAGGTTGGACATCGCCAACAGTAAATCCGAGGTCAGCTTGACGGGCAGGAAGCGAGTTCGAGGTACCGTGATACCTGGAGTAAAATGTTGACATAAACTTCCAAATATAGATGTTAATTTACATATTTAATGTCGAAAACTGGCAGTCGTAAAGGGAGATAGCTCCACGGGATATTTAAATTCGCAAGCCGAGTTTGAACTTCGGCAAAATTCACGGCGAACGAAACTGTGGCACTTGGAGTCATTGCATTCCAAGGCACAATTTGTGAGCTGAAAAACTGAACGGAACTGAGCTGGGCTGAATCTGGGTTCGTTCGCTTTATCTGAGTGGTTCGATAAAGTCATTATAAAACACTCACTCTACAACTCTGGCATTGTTGAAGATTCAAGTAACTAACCTACCTTTTCTAATGACGCATCGTTTGACACCTTATGACTTTGTGTGATAGATAAAATCAATGCTAAAAGTGCCAGGGCGGAGCTCTTACACACTATCCTCCCTAAGCTTCAGTTTATTGATCAGGGAATCAGTACTTGTCCTATCCTGCTGGAAGTAACCGGAGTTTAGGTGCAGTCCATCCCGGAATTCCGTACCATGCCAGTGTGGATGATTACAAGCCATGCAGTGAGTTTATCGGCTTATCCGTGAGGCCAGTTACATGTTGACAGTGAATCTCATTAGGTCTATCGGGCTATAACAACGCGTTGGCCGTATTGCCACTCGTATGGACTAATTAAAAGGTGTGTAAAAATATGCAGTTTCTCACCATGTCCATCTCTTTGGTTGCTTGGGCAATCGAAGGTGAGCAGGAGTATACGTTAGGTAAACAGAGATATCAGGTCCTTAACCGTGAGTAATCAGTGTGAAAACAGTCTGCAGACTTTAGCTTTATGAAGCTTGAGAGAACGGATGGATTTTTTGACCATTACAAATGTAACGAAAACAAGTGAAATAAGGAAACATACTGGTTCATTGTGAAGCTGCAGACAGCTTTCAAAGACACTTTCAGATTGTCAAAAGATATTTCGACTCCACGAGCACTCATTCGTGGTTCGAACCTGACCTCTGCATCCCTACCTCCCCTGTCTAGGCTTGGGCAACCTAGCAGTACACCAGTCCTCCTGCTTCCTTTGGGTGGCATGGCAGTTAGGCACCGAAAGGGTGCTGCAGCTGAATGAATGAAAACATCTAGTTACTTCAGATGTGGTAACCAGGAGGGCCATTTCTTGGTACCATTGAGACCTACCTCTTTGTGAGGAAGGATCATTCCGAGGTACGCAGAAGGTAACTCACATACGCAATTTGTTTCAGTGGTAGCTTATTCCAAAAGGACCCAAGACACTCCAATGAAAGGATCTTTGTGCTTCTTATGCCTTTTCAATAAGTGGAGACCTAATGCTTCGGCTCCGATGAACTACACACCTGACCTTGACGGGCGGGTCTAACTGGTTTAGAATTTCACTTGCGGGTGCGACGCTTCCGAGTATATAGTGTCCACCCAAATGGATGTTTGATACACAATGGTCAATAAGCCAGTGTCAGTACTCCAAGCTTTGGAAACCATCGTCCACCGTAAGTGAACGTACTCGATTTGATAGATAAGGGTGCTATTCATACTTCGTTCGTAGAACACTGAAATTTCCCCTCTACAATGACCAATTCCGTGACCATTTCAATTCTGGAGACGGTTTGTGTTCTTCCTAATAGCAGACATAATCGGATTAATTTCGTTGGTCTAAGCTTTCCACATACTTACTCCAATGCGTGACTAAGGACTTCATTTAAAGAGGGGAGCCACCTTCAAAGCGCATCATTCATGGGGCAACAATATTAGCTAACCATTCCTTAGGGCGTTTCGGGTCTCATATAGTATTCTTATCACAAATACAGAGAAACCCCGGAGCCCTATTGTTAAACACCATTTCGTTTTCTGTATATTCAAAGCATAAGGAGATAAGATGATTGACATGAGGTTTGCTTGCATACTGTTGCATTTCTAACACATATCTTGCCCATTCCGTGTTGAGTTTTAACAAACAAGATATTTGAAAATATCAAGTAGTACGTGTACATCGATCTTGAGTGGGGTTCAACGGTACGTGAAGTGTGCTTTTTGCGAAGCCTGAGACTGCCTCTAATAAGCCTTAAGGAAGGACCAAGCTTGACATAGGAGATAAGGATAACGTTGGTTTCATCTGTAATCCAGGGAAGGGATTGAGGTACATATGAAGAGGTGAATAAACCTAGGTACAGGTGAGGCCTGTGGGTCCATTTTTCAGATGATTAATTATGTGGGAAATTTTCTAGTGAGAAAATGAATGAATCCTACCGGCAGGAGGATCCTAAGCTCATTCGGCAGATGTCTATCTTGTTTCTGCAAACTTGATTAGATTTATAGTGCTTACAACAGATAAGACCTTTGCAAACGTTGAAAATTTCATTTCAGGTTCTTAGGTTGTCCATAGGAACCAATTGACCATGGCTCAGATGCTTTTGCGTAACTCAAGCAGGAAAATTCAGTAATGGTGACAAGGAGAACAACTGTTAGTAATATGTCGGGATTGAGAAGCCACAGCGGCTTGCACTGACTGCCTTAGATTGTGTGCAGATGCCCGAAATTACAAGAGGATTGGACAGTACTCGGCGCTGTTGGACAGAGATGAAGTTGTTACGAATAAATTAAGTTAAAATACCTCTAGTTCGATTGAACAGGTGTCGAAAAACCGTTTTAAAGCCTTATTTCCTTCTGGCAGACCTAACCGCATTCATTGTCGGAGACAGTTAGACTAGGTTATATCTTTAACTGCGAACATCATAAACGAGAGATTCAGCGCTGTACAACTGTTCATGACTTCGTTTTGGGCGTTAATATACCTTGTGCACCTTTGATAATTGTCTTGACATGAACGCTAGCATGGGGGGCTCAGACCGAGAAATAAGCTGAGAAAAATACCGTTACTACAACAGCTGTTTCATTCCTGTTGGGAATCATTAGCAGTGTGCCCCTCATGAAACCCCAGGGAGTTTGATATTTGTAATTTCCCGGAGGAACATCATAAACGAGCGATTCACTTGAGCCTCCCGTGTGTAACCAAATCGATTTGCAAATGAGTGTATTTGTCCCGGTTAGTAGTTTGAACACTTAATCGTTTGGCCACAAGCGGCTAATTGGCGGTGGGATTAGCTCTCACCCATACAGGATATCAAATGATCACCCGTGTTGATTGGCTCCTCAAGTGATGACCCTTCAGATGGAAGTTTCACTCTCCAGAAGGACTTTATTCCCACTCTGAATTGTCTATGGCCTGTTGTTAGCTTGAGTGGAGTCGCGTAGGTGAAGTCGTGGCCAAAAGTTTAGGCGTTAAGATTACTAGCAGATAGTTTGCGGGTTGCAGACTACCTACTGGAGCTTCGTGAGGTGCGCACTGTCTATGATCTCCACTAAGAATAAATTCTGTACAGTGATCCTCAGTGTTTTAGGGTGGATTTTCCCCATTTAAAGGATGAAATTCCCCCTGAAACTTCTAGAATCCTCTCATACTACTAAACAAGGGCTCATCGATTAGCATCCATTCACCGGTGGGGAGGTGGTTAGGTGTTTGGCAGCAAATTCCAGGCAACCTCGGGACAGGGTAACTTAAACGCTGTGTATGATGCTACCTGCAAGAACAGTTGAAAGCTTGGAGGTGCATCCAAACCGAAGTAGACCAACTTAGCTTCCAGTTATTCACATTGAGTACCCAGCGTTGAGTAACGAGGCCCACAAGCCACAGCTCCTAGACAGTGATGTACGTGTATGTATATGTGTATGGTGTATATGATGATGTTTCGAAGGTAACATCTAATGGAAAAGACTGCAGCTTCATTTCAAGGCGTCCAACCTACCTCGCGGATTGTCAAAATTATGTATGGCTGCACCTGCTGCTTCCTCTAGCTGTACAATGGGGAGGGAATTGCCGAGGATTTTAGGATTCACGATCAGTTCCATGGAAATACGATCTTCGTCTAGCAATTTTGACATTGCCTTCAAATTCACCCAAAGGTTGTTCGTGTTGAAGAATTTGAATTTGCGGACGCTCGTGAATTCATCCATGTATTTTTCTGGAACCTGACAATGTATGTGAGGTATGACGTAAGCACTTCAGTAATACTCAGAGTAACTGAGTTGAAAGAATCTCAAAGACAACAGTAACAGTGCTAGGAAAGCATTAACAGAATAGGTGATTCCCATTTCACTGTAGTTTGCTGACAGGAATCACCAAACACTGAGTGCATTTCTATAGAATAAGAAAATGTCAATAAAATACCCACTTTTCTCGATGGTCCCCCCTTCCGTTCAGACACCAGAAGCCACAAATCTTTCACGTCAAGGTTCAGTTCTGATGGAGCTCATGAGTATTAAACGTCATTGAAGACACATCATCTGTCCAAATCGATAAGAGCCTCTGGGCGACACTCGATTCGCGTGACGCTGTGGATTGAACCACTGGTGATCCGGATGAAGTACTCTACTGAGGTTCACTCTCGCTATTAGCAACATACTGCTTCGTTTGAGTCCGCAACCTTGTCATGACTGACACACAATTAGATAATATGTGCCTATCGGGATGTCGAAATAGGCGTCACATATACTACAAAGCAGTTCACTTGACTGAAAATTTGGTGAACAATTTTCTGCCTGGGCTATCTGAAAAACCAGGGCCCGGAAGTGGATGCGGGCCACAAATAAGCAGGCAGCTAGTAGGCTGAATATAAAAAAGCCCCTACAGTTTGCATGTGGGAGTTGGACGAATTCAACCAGTGGTCGGACGCCCACCACGATTGGAATTTCCGAACAAGAGGAGGTTACCTTGGATAAGCTGGATAAGGATTCGACATAGTTAACTTAGTGGAAGGTCTTGATCTTATTCAAGGACTGATCTTATTCAAAAACATTCGATGTTGAAACCGCGGTTGAACTGATGTGAGGATTTGTAAGCGTATGATTAACGTGTGGAGAATGCAAGGACCTCATCTTGCGGCCGCAAAATATACAGAAGTGTTTTTTTCAGCACTTATTCTACAGTAACCTTGGGGCACACACCATGACGTTTGGGGATTTTTGTGCATTCCGCATTAGAAATAGTTAATAATTCAGAGAACACCTGCGTTGACGGTAGTCACGCAACACGCCACTGGGAATCTAGGGAGCACTCGCGGTTGTGGAGCTTTCTAATTATTTTGTTAATTTGACACCTGTCGCGACAAAGTAGCAGGTTTGTGAATTTTAGAGAATGTGTGTATTAGGCTACAGTCGGTACTGTTTTGCAAAATGTTTGTGTGAAGTGGCCTCTGCGTGCAACCGAAGTGAAAAGATCTTCGGTTTCCGCTAACCTATGTTTTTAAACTTTGACAGAAGAAGGCTAGCGTCAACGATCATTTGGAAAAAAGGCATTCATTTGAGTAACAAGGAGTCCAATGGAGGCTGTGGTTCAGTCATGAAATGCACTTGATGCCGCTTCTCGAAAAGAGTGCCGCAGAACGGTGTATAAGAAACCATGAAAAGTCTGGGCATTGTCGGTGCTAGTCACCTTCTGAGCTGAGGTCCTTGTGAATCTCAGAGTGCCAGGGAGAGACTATTGACGGGGCGGATCGAGATCGTTGACGTTCTTGTTGTAACTTCCTATCTATATTAGCTGGATGAGTATCTGGAGGTGTAATCACTTCAGAACTCTTGTAGTGGACTCGCATCAGGTCCATTCCCTCTCCTTCCTCTTTTTGTACAATGAGGCTACTAAGCATAGGGCAGTAAAGCATCGGCTTCAAACACAAGTGTTTTGTCAGTGATGATGATGATGATGATGATGATGATGATGAAGGTAAGTATCATAGGCCTGCTTACCGAAATTCTGTGATTTCCCGCATGGCTCCGTTTATGGAAGATTCCCATGAAGCATAGTCAGCTTCGGTTAGTTTTTACACTGCCTTAGCCAGTTCAATTGCTTACCTCTACAATGTTTCTGAGTGGATAATTTTGACTTTGATCTGACCATGAAGTGGTCGTTAATGGTTTCAGCAGGGGGCCAACTACGGAAGCGCTCATTATACGTTGCTGTTTTCAAATATTTGGAGCAACCCGTTTCTCAGTCCCTCAGTATCTTTTCGCCGTACTCGTCTTTATAGGCTTATGAGGCTATCAGGTACACATCAACGCAGAATGTGAGGGCTGTTTGTGATTCAGACCTTTGACCGTAGAGCAATTCGTTGTCGCATCATACCACTACGGAAATCATATTTGGACACTAATGCTTACCCTCCTTAAATAAATTATTCCGTCCCGAAGCTTGGGTGGATTCTCAGATTTTCAGATTGAAAACATTTTTAGTGCATCGTCATTCCATAAGTAGCGGTATGTTAACGGCTTCCTACAAATTCGTCAATCATGTCAAAAGAAGAATGTTCATTTAAGCTTCTTTTTGTGTTTCATTAGTTCACCCTATTCTCCTTTGACGCCATGTAGAAAAAAGGCCAAAGAGTACTACAATATTTTGTGAGATTTATCCCTTCAATTGGGGCCATCGAGCGTTCTCAGGCTTTGAGTGTTGACTGAATAATGTGAAGGGGGTCTCTGGTCGCAAACGGTACTGATCCTCCTCCAAAGCATTGCTAGAGAAGTAAGCGCAGCAGGACGAAAACAGGTGCTTCTAGCAAGTAAGGGTCTCATAAAACAGGATCAGTTGTGACATGTGCAAAACTATGAAAGCTTAGTAAAGTCCACCTTTCTGAGCCATTTCTTCCGTTTAAATGGCGGCATACATAACGCTGTTCTTAAGCGCAGTATGTAACATATAGGTCAAGAATAAATAAAAGCCAAAGCCAAATTTCTTCAAGCGAATTTCACCATTCAGTGAGGAATCTTACAAAATATAGCTGAGTCACGCGGGTCAGCTGACCTAAATCACGTAATTGCCAAGGGTTTAAGGAATGCCAACCACCTCTTGTGAGAAATTTGAAGAATTGGAGAATGTTAACATGATAGCCACCATTGATTGGGTATATAGCGGTGGGTTATGCACGAGTTCGGCTAGACATGAAAGTGAATATAGTGTACTTAAGGATACGCCCCTTTCATCATCACCATCGGTGCCAGCTGTAATAACCGCGTACTTGTCGTACAGTGGTTGTAGCTGCCACAGTTTCGTTCACCGATGATTTGGGGAGGTGGGGTAGGTAGCTGCGCATTGGAGGCGGGAGCTGATAAATTAGTGCATAAATCCAGCACTGTCAGTGGGCTGTCAAGTAGGGGGGGTTTGGGAAAGGAGCTATGCGTTGAAGGCAATAGTTTGATGCACGAGCACCGTTGAGGGCGCGACTGGGCCATGTCTGACAATGTCTCTAACCATTGATATGGCCCGTCTCGGGGTCCCCATCCAGGAAGACGGCAGTGACCAGCTCAGCTGAGTTTGCTGGTAGTTGCTTTCATACTTCGCTGCCAAGTCATTGCTTGACCGCCTCTGGTTCTCTTCCACCCTTCACGTGTTTGTGCGAAAAGAGCCCTTCGAGGAAGTCTGTCGACTGGCATGTGCAACACGTGGCCAAGCCAGCGTAATCTATGCAGTGTGATCAGTTCACCTATCGAGGGTGAGTAATTTTTCTCGAATACCATTCGACGAACCTCAGCATTGCTAGTCCGGTGTTCCCACTAGATTCGGGCAATGCTCCGAAGACGTCGATGGTCAAACACTGAAAGTCTCTTGACGTCCTCGGCACGCAGTGGCCAGGTTTCTGATCCGTATAGTGATATGGAGCGCACCGTCTTTGCCTTTTATTGACCCTCCAAAATTACTTTAATTGCTGTCCATATAAAACGCATGGGAACTGGTGAAACAAAGGTACGATTTGACGTATCAAGCGCTCGTGGAGGTTTTCGACAACAGGGATGTACTGCTGGCTTTTAGTAGCTTATAAAGCTGTGGTGCCTTTTCTGTTTCATGACGCCACTGTTCTCGGCGTCCTAAAAGCATGACAGGTGAAAGAATGAGCACATTTTCTCCGTATTGGACTGAACTGCAGCTCGACGATGAGTTCAATAAAATTCTTTCCATATTTTCGTTTTTATTCGGTGGGCATCTACACCTCCTGGCCATTTGTAGCTTTTTCTGGCAATGCAAAATAGGATAAAGGGAAGCAAGCAGGCAGAAATAGCGGAAAATTTAGCACTGTTCTGTTGATGTCGTTTTACAATGAACCGCACGGCCGGCCATTGTACTGCACGAATGCATGAGATAAGCTTGCGTTTTTGTGTGGAGAATCGGGGATAAAATGTACTGCTTCAGTTTGCATCATCATCATTGACAGTGTCACCAGAGGGGAACTTTGCTGCCTCAGTGCCGCACAACCGTATCCATTTTGGGGTCGATGGGGCTTAATTTCATGATAAGTCACAATGCACTCAAGAAGGGACTCGACTATTTCTTGTACGGACGTCTGTAACTAATGAGTAAACATGGAAGGAAGACGCCGCAACGTAAAACATGTCAAAAGACTCCAGTAAACTAAGAAATTCCCACGCGTCCTTCGAGTCACGTGCAGGATGGTCTTTTTCTTGACACCTGAGCATGCACGTCAAACATTTGTGGTAAGGAAGAATGTGTTAGTGACCCGAAATTAGGACCAAAATATACTAAACTTTTGGAGACCGTAGAGTAAGAATAGTATGGATAACTCGTCTTTAAAAGAAAGCTAAATACGACTGCTTCTCCTTGGTACCTCCTGGGAAACACTGTCGACTAGCGAAAGAAGTAAGAAAGTTTCTTCTTATAGACAGTTAAAAAATCATTATAATATGCCAAAAAACCAACCTGAGCCAGTTCAAGGAGACGTAACTTCTCACCATAACGCATCAGTGTGCCACCTTTGATGTCCGATGGCGTCTTCAGAGTTACCTCCATCAGAAAGTCACAACCATGGCCGTCGAATTTGGACCTTTCTAGGTAACTAAGAATGGCTTTGAAAAATATTGGGAAAAACAGGTACATGAGAATAACTGAAAAAAGCGCAACAAACAAAAACGATTTCAAAGTATTCCTGAAGTGAAGCAATCAGGCAAACTCTGAACCACACTGGTAGAATGAACCCTGACTGTTCTATGGCTGTGACTAATAGGGATGGACAGAATGCGACGAGGATGACCGGGGTCAGACGAGTTCAAATAATTAGACCAGTCATCCTAGGTAGTCTTTTTTTCTAAACAATATCATCACAAAACGCTCAAACTCTGTGGCTCCTCGCCCTCTCTTATTTAACCATTCTGCATGTACTTAGGCAGTTATTCTCTCCAAAGTTCTCTCCATATCAGGATCTTCATCGGGGTGTCTTAGTATGTCCTAAAACACACGAGCTCTACGTGCTAGCAATTTTCAACGTACTGGCCTACTGCGTCTCGGAACACCTACTTCTTGTCTTATTTTCAACTGTTTGCGTTCCTGGAGGAGACTTGGATTGTATCTGTGACAAGAATTGCTAGAAGGTACCGGCAAATCCTTGCTTAAGTGGCCTATGCCAAAGAGAACGTTACATTTGCGGGGTTGTGGGAGCGGCAGCATCTTCTGTCTTATACGATACAGAGTGACAAGTGATGCTTTCCAGCTAGTTCTCTTGTTTTCAGCATAAGTCTTTCATCCACGTTTATATTTGACTGGACTCAGCTCTTAGATCATTCAGTTTGTATTGGGATTTCTTCACAAGTGGCGTCAAATTAAGGAACCTTCTGGGGGCCAAATACCGCTTCCTTGCTTGAATCTAGCTTACTTCCCTTGCTTGTTTTCCCCCGTTCCGAGCCAGATACCTTTTTCCTAATATTTTTGTGTCATCTGTTTTCCCACTGTCTATTTGACCATCCTAGTCCGTTGTGGCAGTGGAGGGTCGAAAGTGAATCTATGAAAACTCGTAGCCAGCAGTGCTTGATCGTCAGATTGGGTCAACCAACACTGATCTGAAAGCAAAAGGATAGACACTTAAGTCACCAACTGACTATACATTCTATATCCTACATGAGGCTAAAGTATTCCAAAGTATTCTGAAGTATTCTACACAAAGTAGCTCCACACTCCGGTCATCCAGGAAATCTCCAAAGAGGTTGTACTTGATAACTGGTAAGTACAATTTTACCGTGAAATAACGGATTTAAATGGAGTTGTTTTTTTGCGTGTGGTACAGTTAGTGAGACAAAATAGTGGCGACAAAATAACCAGTTTCGTGCTTGTCTGATTCAAAAGCACTTGTCAAGGTAATATAGAATCGACCGATTCGGCTGCCACCCTCAACTTTTCAAAATTCAAAATTTCAAAATCTCCCGATGAATCCACACCAAGGAAGAAATGAGGTGCAGACGAAGCGTTAAAATTAAAAGTCCTTCTGCCTTTCTCAATGGCTAGCTTCCCGGTGCTGTTGAACTTCTACTCTGTTTGTTTGGGTGATTGTCGTAGTCTGAGAGCCTGATGGTGACAAAACCAGCCAAGTGACAGAACACAACATATACCATGCTATTTTATTTTTATGTAATGTTAAGGTTTTCTAAACTTAACTCAGAAACAGTATGCAGACTCCATCTTTTAAATGTGTCACCAGCGCCAAAAAGTTTCTTACACCTTCCTTCAGGAACCAAAATTATACATTTGACGGACAGTCGAAAACAAAAGCCACCATCGATCCATTACTTATCAACAACATCGTGACACCCATCGTGTATTTCCATATAGAACAGGAAATCTTTGGTAGGCCCGTTCAAAAAACGAAAATATGTTTTAGCCGAATGCCAACACAAGTATCCTCACTTGCATCCACAGTAGCTCCCAAGTTGTCGATGTTTGAGATGAAAACCCATTCCTTCCCACTTCGCATGAATTTTTCCAGAAGACCAGACTTCTTAAAGCAGCGATAAACATCTCCGTGCCCAGGCGGGTACCAGATCTGCACGTTCGGGTGGCTGAGAACAGAACTTGGCTTGATTGGTAACCCGGTTTCTGCCGACAGTCGGGGAAAACTGCACACACGGTGAAGTGTAAATGGATTATATAATATCAGGAATGTCCTAGGAAAAGTAACAAAGGGTTTAGACTCACAATGTTGCGACGTAGGCCAGAATAAAGCCTGAACTTGAAGGTAGGGAATAGTTTGCGAGAAAGCAGGGAGTTGGATGACATTGGCTATTGCCTATTCTTACCTAGGACAAATGGTTTCTTCTATTAATCAGGTCCAACTCATGAATTTCATGGAGATCCTGTTATACTGAGGCAAGGTTTCAGAGTGAGCACTGGGAACATGATTACGAAACTCTCATCCTATTTAGATGGGCAGCTTGAAAGTCGCAGATCTTAAATAAGAAAATAACGCTGTGGAAGATGCCAACCTTATGAGTCAGTCTTGTTCAACAACCTTGTTTGTCGCGCGATTCAGAAGGCACGCTGAATATGTCCTGGTCAAGTTTGCCGAAAAACTCCTCAACTGTAATTATCTTACCCAAGTCACTAAATACCGCATCAAGGCTACAGAGGCAGTGGTCGGCCAATTTCTAGCCGGAGATAAGAAGTAGCTTGTCCTGGAGGTACTTTGGTGTGTATCATCTCATGCCCTGTAGACATTAGCTTTCCGGTAACACATTTATCTTCCATCGATGTCTCTTCCGGCCGTGGATCAGTGGAAGGTTTTCCAAGAGTTAGCTAAGGCCTTTGGGAAGCGGCTCCTTTTGAGAGGGTCAGACGCCAGGAGGCGGCAAAAGAGGAACATTGTCCTAGACCCTCCAGTGAAGGGCTTGAGGGCTTCACTGAAAAGATTTGGAGCATACACTCACCGCACCAACTGCGCCGATTTCCCAATCAATAGTATTTATTTCCGAGATCCGAAAAAATGTGATGGGTTGGCGTAACTTAACTGTCTCTGCTTCGTTAGAAAGTTGTTGGGCTTAAGCGGACTCAGAGTTTCTCCCCTTTTCAAATGACCAATCTCATCAATGACCTTAAGATTCCAAGTGTTTATTGATGGGTAGGCAAAACGATCTTGATTTGCTGCAACATGACCATGGAACAACCAACCTGAAAGTAAGTTAAGCATTAAAGAGCCTTGAATATGCTGCTGTCTACAGTATAATCCAGGGACAGTAGCAATATCCGTAGAGTTGAGTACCAGTACAAAAAATCGTGTGTAGACATTGTAGAATTAATTTCTCTAGTCATTTAAGTGAAGACTAGTTAATAACGGTGTGGAATGTCACCAGTTTTCATACGTCTGCAGGTGAGTCAAACTTTAGTCGATCACTACCAAGAATCGCGGGTACAAAATGTAACTTATGCATCCTTCTTAGCTGATTTGTTAGGAACTTCGACCGGTTTTTCTTGTTAGAGGATAGGTTTTCTGTCAACTCTTGAAGTGTACAGGTTTTTTTAATACGCCCTCCAGGAAGAGAAGCCAAGGAGTAGGAAAACTCAGATAAAACTAGGAGAGCGCGTTTTCTAAGGAGAGTCCGAGAATTTACCACACTGGGGTTTTCGGGGCGAAGGTTAACTATCCTGGTTTCTAGGATAAACGTTTGTGTGGGGTTAAACAAAAGTTTTGCAAGTCCGATAATACTCGGCAACCAAGGTGAAGGGAACATCCTTAGGGCTGTCGTGCATCGAGAAAGTAGGTGTAAGACCTGGTCTGGGGGGACTTGTCTGGATTATTGACCGGGTCTTATCATTCCTGGTCTCTCCTAAGATTACCCACAGAGTCTACTCACAGCCTCTGCTGAGAAATTCCTAGTTTTTGCGTTCATGTGGTGGATAGCTAGTATCTGGCATTTCAACCGACATGACAGATAACTGCTAACCTGTTTCAAGAGTGCTGGCTAAACCTTGATTCGATGCGCAGCTACCTACCCACCCAAATCATCGGTGAACGAAACTGCCTGCGNCATCGGTGAACGAAACTGCGGCAGCCACAACCACCGCACGACGAGTACGCGGTTATTACAGCTGACAATGGTGATGATGATGATGATGATGATGCTGATGCTGATGATGATAGTGTTGTTGATGATGATGATGATGGTGATGATGATGATAATGATGATGATGATAATGATGATGATAATGATGATGATGATGATAAACGGGTGGCGTACGAATCAACTTGAACCATAAGTCATCGTCAAACACTTAAGTAAACTACGTACTGGCAGATTTGAAGACTGGTCTGCATCCAAAAGTGTGTAAATGAGAAGCAGCCACTCGCCCCTGTGAAACAAGAACTCCTTGCGTCTATTGTTTGCGGAAGAGACCAGGTTCTGCCAAATGCTCTCGGTGAAGTCCCTCAAGATACCAAAGAAATATCTGTTTCAAATATGAATCAACTCATAGCTATATGATGTCTCACCATTCCACCAAGGTGTTGGCTACATGGGTGAGATGAACTCATCGGTCCGTCAAACTCACTGCTGTTTCGAAAAAAAGAGGACATTCAGCAACAGCAACAGCTGAATTCCAATTACTCTCAAGATTCTAAACTTTGAGTTAGCCATTGGAATCGCTTTATGAATGTATCTGCCCAGTAGCAGTGAGTTTGATAAGTACGCCTATGTCATCCATGATTTTACGTGTCTACTCTACTTCAAGTGACGTATACGGGTAAATTTCATGTTGTCCAAAATGGTGAGTAAAGTACGACCAGGCTGTCCATTATGACTATTCCCGTTCTAAAACTTTTTTGGCAGAGAGATACATGACAACACTCTGGTAATAATGGTCAGTGGCAAGTCCCTATCCTCCTTAAGCCTCCTAGCCATCCAGCTCGAAATGAATGTTTTCTGTTCAGAAGTGAGATGGGAACAACATGGAGGCCGAGTGACAAAACTGTAACCTTACGACTAGCCTGAATCTTGGAGATGATGACGGTGGCTGATTTACACATGAGTCGCAGACTTTCCGTAAAAGTGTACTATTATTGCCTTCTGTACAGATGGTTTTTTTCCTAATTACTTAACATAATTACGTTTTAGTGTGGTGAGGCACATGGGCCTTACACCCGATATTAGGCTTCATATGTATACATACATATGTAGACGGGGTTCGATGGTTCTTAGGCGTGAACACTCTCAGGACAGGGGGTCGCTACCTTGCTGAGTAAGATGTACGGTCCCCCTGTAGTGCGAGGAAACATGACCCTTTTCTTTTGTTAGAAGGGTTTGAGCGTCCGATTTACTTTCAAAGGCTCAGTGTAATTCTCACATGTCCTTCACCAAAGGCAGTGACAATCAGAATGAAAGGGGCAAGCCAGCAAGCATATGACTTGCATATGTGCACCTAAAACAAAAGAAGAAAACTCACCGGTTTTGCTCAAAAGTGAATATTTGTGGCCTTTTTTCTCCCAATTTGTTAAGCGCTTGTTCCGTTTCCTTATCCGTGTTGAAAGAGTTCATAAGCACCAATGGGACATCGCAATTGTATTTGGAATTCAGTTCCTGTACGGAAATATGATAAAGGGTGTAGGTTAATTTTCAACAATAAACGCGAAATAGTTTTCAGGGAAAAGCGATTAACAAGAGAAGCTTCATTTCGTCGCAATGACCGAAGTCAATGTTTGTACAAAAGCGTCGCTAAAACCACCACATGAAACTAGTGAACAGAAGGTCAGTGGTCTGAACCGAATGCTAGCTGTTCGACTCTTCCCATCCTGACTTGGACATTCTGGCAGCATCTGATAGCCCGCGCCTTCTTTGGGCTGAACGGTGGCTAAACATCAAAAATATGCCACAGATGAACGACTTTCGGTTTTGCTCTTTGAATGCTCCAATTACTAGTGACAGAATTCTGCGTGAATACATCCTACCCTTGGCCTCTTATGATGTCTTGCGAAGTATACACCATATAGATACTGACTGCCATCAAACTTGACCGCAACACCTGTTGTTTAGCCCTGTGCAATATACTCTGAGGTCCCAAAATTAGCGCATAGAAGTACTTTGGGCACCGCAGATTCATACAGTCCGAAAGGTTATCAGGTTTAGACGGCCTGATCTGGTAATACCGGCCAAACCTTGGCTGTCGTATCACACTGACGAGTTTTCATGCTTGCAAGCAAAATACTGATCTGTGGTGTGAATCATTTTTTGTGGGTCATTCTGCTTCAGATGGATAGGCAAGTTACAAGTTCGTACCGGACAAGGTTACACGACTCTTCGTGTTCTCTTGACATCGTTAGCCGATACAGTACAGCTAGATGCGATCATTTCGTATCTGCTTCCTCCTTGAAAGTGTTTACAGATCCTTTGGACGTGCACTTTAGCAGATTTCGGTGAGTTGCGACGAATAGATGGACGCTGGTGTGCGAGAGGGTCAGGATAAACCACAGATGAGAAGAAACTGGACAACATATGACTTGGCAGAAAGGTGTGAAAGAGATCATGGAGAGTTTGGGTGTGGTACGCCTTCCAGGATGGGGTCCCAGTGACCCCGTGCTTGGCGGGAGACGTTGCAAGAAATGGCAGCTAATCGATGTCAGTGGCGTTCTTGCTGTCAGTTTCTTTCCAGATTGTCTGATTGAGCGGTTGGAGGTGTAGGCACCTCAGTATGCTTGACATAGGCCAGCACTAGGTCCCCTCCCTCACCCACTCTTTCTCTTCTTTTCATCCTAGGGCTTTTAATATAATCGTATATATATGTAATGTATATAGAAGAACCTTAAGGTTGTACGGTAGTGAAGCATCAGTGCCAACACTGATGTTGCTGTTTCTGATGATGATGACACCACAGAATTGTTGAGAAAAGCGACGTACTCAGCTGCCCACTGGATATATCTCATTTGAAGACGAAAAGTATGCAGGCTGATTGCAATGCTCAGCGTAGAGATCCACGGCCATCTGATCAACCACCGGGCTAACCTATTGGGTTTTCTTCCTATGACTGTCTGGATATTTCGCTAACTGAAGGCAAGTTCTGATTATGATAGAAAGGCGCGTTTATGAAACTGGTTAAATTGTTATTGTGGTATCTGTTCTGGGATGTGGCTGTATGCTATAGCTTTTATTGCAAGTAGAATGAATATTTCTACAAATCCACTACTAGTGGTTGATATCTCGAATAGCCATTCTGTGTAATATTCGGCCAAGTTTGATCAAATTTGTTCATCAAAGTCACCCAATTTCTCTCAATCAGGTATATACCAACTGTTTCCCCACGCGTGTGTGAGTAACTGTACGCAATATCTTCCTGAAATCGAATAAAATGAGTGAGTGGTTGTACAAATCGGACATATTGAGAAATTTGTGGAAAGCTTATGGACTTTATTTTTCGCCCCTTAGTCTTCTATACCTGTCGCATTAACCCTATTCATCCTGTAAAAGAATTGCAGAAAATGTCATTAGTTTAACAAATGCATATTTTCACTATGCGAAGCTTCTGTTCTGCTATGTGATCAAATCTGATCGAAATGTGGAGTCGACCTATTTCCAAGTGGGTGTAATGTTAAGAATGAATTGTAGGCTATGCGTGTATTAATCCAGAGCAAAACAGCTGGGTTGATGACGTGACTAGCCGTCAAACAACTGCGCCAAAAATGTTATTCATTCAGTGCATGCGCTTTTATTCCGTCATACGTCCAGCGCAGCGGCACATGTGCACAGCTAGATTATCTAGCAAAAACGGTGTGAGGCTGATGCGGTTGGGTTAAAACTCTATGGTAACGAACAGAAAAGAGAAAGTGACCGTTGTAATCAAAACATTACTTTTGTTTTCATCTACGAAATTCTCAGCCTGATCATTACAATGCGGATGGAATGGTGAATTAATACGGAGGACAAGCAGGTGGAATGTGAACTGGGTACCGTAATCGAACACAATTGTTTCTGGGAGACCGGGTGTTGAAAACGGATTTCGCAGTTTAGTGAGGGTCGCCATCAGTACTGTGTCAGAAAGTGCAAATTGCAAACCACTTACTGAGGGCACACACAGATTAAGAAGGTTTGCATTTTAACTGGTTTGCCGAAATCCACATAGATGCGCGACCATGGTGTTTCTAGATGTGATCATGGCTGCAGTGGCTGTCGGTTGGGTGACCTCTGAGCTGCAGCGCATCGGAAGCAGCTTCGGCATATGTCCATCCATACCGGGCCGATAAACAAAGTGGTGGATTAGGGGTTTATTTGAGGTTTATTCCCGGGTGTCTCTTGTGAAAGTGTGAGGTTTATCCCGGGTGTCTTTTGTGAAAGTGAGCCAAGACTCGATAGCGAGGCTTGTTGGAAACGATGATCCGATAAGCGAAAGGTGGGAAATCGTCAACAACAGGCAACGACATTCGTCGTTGAAACAGTTGTCTAAGTTCACCTGAAGAGTGGGTTCTTGGCCACGTGACTTGGTGGTACTCCATAGCCTTCTGTAGTAGGTTGTTAATTCCGTTGGTATCACGAAATCGGCAGTAGGTTTATTGTGTTTAACACAGCAGCAAGAACTTTTGGTTTGACGGCAACGGCAACTTCTGTTCCCGTTACATGAGAATCCGTCAGGCGAGGAAGCGCACCTACCTGTCCAATGTTCGCAGTGAAGCACATTGCATTGTAAAGTTGTAGCCAAGTAGGAGGTTACCCTATCATTGCAGCCAGTATGTTGATGAGGGCATTGCTAGGTTCAAATTCTCTACTAGGGTGGACTGCTCCAAAGTCTTTTTGGCAATACTGCTAACAGAGTTGGACGATGGGCGTGTCGTACTTTAGGCTCAAGAGAGGTTGGTGCTCATGGGCAATAACCCGCAGCCGTAGATTCAGTTGCTTCACTCCTGTTTAGTAGCCTGGTTCGAATATCACTTTCTGAGTGTGACTGGAGGCCGTATGTGAAGACTGCACCCTTAAACTGGTCTGCCTTCATGATAGAAAACTCCAGTCGCTCACATTCAAGACATAGTCTTCTGACTTCTTATTCACCAGTTTCATGCACCGATAGAGAATAGTGAAGAAAGACGGACGCTCACCGAAAAGTTCTGCAATCTGACGCACGCCTCCTCCAAAGCTGCTATCTTGTGTGCTTTCTGGGATGAATAGGGTGTGTGTTATATTGTGCCAAGTTTCAAGAGATAGCGGCACTCGCGAAGCATGATCTTTATGCTCAAGTTTGGTTTTGAAACCATCGTAACGCATGAACCACAAATCAACGATCAGACAGACTATGTACTTCTTTTGACAACTGGGTAGACGGAATTTGCATCTGGGACGAATTTCGGTTGCTAACTTGTCACTACATGGTCTACATCAATCGTATTTGTGCCCCTTCAAATTGAGTTCGTTGTTGCAGTAAAATTTACTTCAACGCATCGACAGTTATTGCTACAATTGCCTGGGTATGAGTGTCACTAATTTATTGTAACTAATTGCAAACTCAGGCTCCAGAATCTTAGTGACGGAAGATGCTCAATCAAAAAGAACACAACGGCTTTATTGCGAACAAACGAGTTACAGGGAACATCACGATATTTAGGGTGCATATTTGACCTTGAATCAAGGCTGTCTGATCGATGTTAAGAGAATGATTGGTGTCGCTTCTAGGTCATGCCTGAACATCCGATCGTCTTCAGTCGCCGCTGATTGTCTGTTTGAACGTTCGATCGATAGCTGACCTTCTTACCCGTAGACTAGACGGCCAACCTGAAGCAGTCATGGCGGAATTGGCGATTTGTCAGTAGGTTTCGGACGTTCTGGTGGAATTATTTTCAGGAGTGTGGCCTCCCTGATTGGTACCCACAAACCCGTCACTCATCAGCTTTATCTCCTGTCCGGCTTTTCTCTATCGTCTTCCTACAACCTCAAGAGAAGCTACAGTCGTTGATAATTCCCTATAAGGACGAGGCTGCTATTCAACCTCATTTGTTTTTTAAACTTCTAGTTAGAATTTGCCATCGAATAGAAGAGCTTTTTCAATCGCACGAGGACTTTTGATCCTACTGAAACCCAAGAGTTGAGTGAAGAGAGTCATTCACTTGAATTTATGGTTAGCAGTTGACTATACCCCAAACTTTTGCAGTCAGCAAATTTGGCTGTAATGTGTTTTGACCGAATGGATGAAATCTTAGTCTGAAGAGTGACGTAGCATTGCAGGAAGTAACAGAAAAATCGCGGCACAACATATGTTTCAAAAATGTAGCTGGAGACATTTTCAACTGGGTTATGTTCAAATTGGCTTCAGAAGCATGGTTACATACCTCAGACGTTCTAGGAATGAGGTAAGTTTTAGATTGTGCATCGGGCCAGCGCATGCTTTTTGGTTGGGTACAGATAAACCCACCGAATACCGAATATGACTAATGAAGATCAAAGGCTTCACATCTCTTGACTTGAGCCTTATTCGGTTGTGATCAAGACCACTGGGTGCGGTTCAAGGGTATTCTCACAAAAATGTCAGTGACTTGTGTTTTCTTAGCGTTTTTGTCTGAGTTGACTGGCTGTGTAAGGTAAACTCAGTGAGACTTCGGGACATCTGATTCAAACATGACACATGAGCTATGCTACGCTTACCATATTCATCGGTGCCGTGACAAAAGCAAATCGTCAGCATGCTGACGAGAGTAGCGGAACCAGGCTGCCAGTCGCTTCTCGTAGATAACATAATCCTTTCACGTACATCGAACATCTGACAAGTTGGAAAACTAAGTTCAATATATGTAGCTTGACGGAACTATCAAGTATGTTCGGATCGCATGCTGCTGAGTAGCATCCAACTTCAATGACATCCTGGTTTGTCGAGTATTTCTCGGTATCCATTACCCCTAGAAGTTAGAGGTTTTAACCGTATCACAGACACAACTGATGAAGGGCCATGCAACCAACTAGGTGACTGAAACAAGTCACCGGAGAAGAGACATTCGAGTACGCATCCAGATCGAAGTGTAGAGCTGGATGACACACTCGGCTAGTAGGCTCAAACATCGGCACCTTCCACATCAACACGTATGGTATAACAAGTTCATCTTTTGGATAAATTGCAGGGATTTCTATATTGCAAGCTTCGTTTCTGGTCGTTTTCCGTTTATGTGCCTATGCGTAAATAGCCCAGAATAGCTCTACGTTGACAAAAAACACTAGGTGATGGATGTCAGCCTTCCACGACTACTCAGACAACGAAATCTCCGGTTGCCAAAAAAACTGACCGCACAACTGGGGGTAGCATGGTGTTTCAGAGGTGATTTCTTCAGGACAGTGTGGAAGGTTTCAAGAGTTTATGTGTATTTGAACGAAGGTTGGTGTATGCTGGTGCCAGAATAAAAAAGTCAGATCTGGTATGTTTATAGAATTATAGGTCGATGTATCTGATCAGCATTCAGGAATGGATGTTAAAATGTGGTGACAGAATGCCGACTGATGTACAAACAACAAAAGTGAAATCGATACTAAATGTGTCTAACTTACTACTATTTGTTCCGCTGTCAGATCAACAAAGTTACGCCCGTCTCTGACGGGGATAAGTGACTTGGGCCCGTCACAACCCATCGATGTGCCCAGGCCACCGTTCAGTTTAAGAACCACCAATTTGCTTAGCAGTCCAGGGACATCGGTTGGTTTTGGTTTTGACAAAGATTCGTACACTCGGATCTGAGGGAGAAAAGTCAGGAAGCACAGATTATGAAAAACCGTGTTCAAAGTCACTGTACTCCTTAGGAGAGCCGTGAAAGTGTCAGACGGTTTGTTTGAAGCCACAAAAACGGCTAACTTTCGATTGAATAGCAAACACACCATCAGCCTGATCAGAAGATTGAACCATTGACTGAAACTTCCTGCCGATATACTGTTTAGTAGCATGGCAGTTAGGCACTGAAAGGGTGCCACAGCTAAACGATTTTAGACGACTAATCACGTAAGACGCAGGCCTCACACTAGCCACCGGTCAGTTCATGTGTACACAGCTAATTCTACTGTGGATAACAGTCATAAGAGCTCTGGAAAAGTGGTCCACCGTACTGATCGCTACGAAAGTCTTCTTATTGAGGAGGACAGAAATTTATTCCAAAATTTAGTGCAGGTGAACTGATGAATAATTGCATGATAGAAAAGATGACTTCCTTAAACGTCTGCTTGCCTTAACAACGGAACATTTTCACGCTGTGATGCAAAACCTTGAGCTATTATAGGCTGGCAACTGTCACGCATTCGAATTTTGAATGATGTCCGTTCTGTTCATAAGTAACAAGGTCGCGTCCCTCCAAACCATTGAATGAATGTAGACACATGGAGTACATTATTTACAATGGTTCCCAAACCGTGTGTAGTTAGTTATTCTGATAAATGGAAAATACACTTATCAAAAATATCACTCTGAAAAGTGATCGCCCTTCTGAAGAACCAACAAAAGCGTCTTATCTCTGTCACGACTAAGGTTTTCGTGTCTAGGGAGAGGTAAGCTCTCCGGGTAGATAAAATACCCCCTTCCCTGTGCTTTCGGTTTTAAAGGGCTGTCGCAGTTGGTTTTAGGCCTGTAAAAATTGTTGTGATGGGGTATGGATCTTACAATGGCCTGAATACTGTTAAAATAGATGGGTCAAAATTAGAGGGCCGCTATGAGCGTTGGTACCTGTCTACTAGACAGCGTTTTTGTGTGTTGTGTTCCTGCGTGACAGACCTCGAATAAGGGGACGTATTTAACGGCATGAATTTATAGGTAACTGGAGATCTGAAATGGTTACCACTTGGGCGTACTTGATAAAAGCGTTTCTGGTAGCCACTATTTTAACTCATTTTATCCCCATTCTCAGTCTATGACAATAAGCCCCTAATAGAGGACATAAGGGGAAAAGGTTTTGAGTCCTCTTGAAGAGTGGTTTTTCATGGGGAAGTGGGCATACAACTACAGTCAATAAAGAATACTTTTGTGGTTTCCCCTCTTGGGGGATTAGTGGACCTAATTTTTCCCCGGTAGGGTTGTGTTATTACATTTGTCACTATTTGGCTCATGTTTTGCGAACATGTATTCAGTGAGTTGTCCAGAACTAGTTTCGTTTGTACTACGCATGGCATCGATCATCAATGAACCATGTGGTGTTTCAACGAGTCGTTTGTGTGAACAATATCATCTGATTGCAAGTGCTGTAGAAAGTGATTATCGATCATTATTCTTGATGCCCGCTAACGAGTCTGGAGTGAGTTCGAAGAACGGCATTCTGATAGGATTATTTGAGCTCATATAATTGATCACATTTATTTATTTATTTTTCTCCTGTGGGTAGTGAAATAAGATTACAGGAAATCACACAAACTCAGGTAATTTCACAGTATAGTCGTTCGCTCTTCACCATTGTTTAAGGTACGATTAAATCTCTGTCCATGGAAACTCTGGTTGGATGAGGTCAGCTTACCGGGTAGTGGCGGCTTCGCTAATTCCCTTCTCGTATCGTCACTCCTATAGTACTTATCACTTAATCCCGCTGAATATATCTAACCTTGGTGATGTCGGCGCCACAGGCACTAAAATTGGGTTGAAACCCTAACGTTAAGGGGAACGGCGCATGTCATCGCGACTGGACTAGGAGTGCGAAGAAATTAGCACACTAGAGAAAAACGAATTTGCATTGCTTCAAAGAACTGCTTATTTTCCAACGATTCGGATGGCAAAACAATCGTCCAAAGCGAGATTATTTACCAAAAAGTTCTATTGTGGCAATCTATTCAGCATTGGCTGAGTGAAGTGTGGTGTTTAAGTGCAAATCCTCGCAGTCAGTCCTGTGTTTGTCTACCTAGTCCCACAGTCATGCAGCATACAGGTTATTTGGCAATTTTATGGGGTACTTCTTACGTCGTACTATAGGGAACAAGTGTTTCACTACGACAGTAGAAAAATAACTGAAGGCCGCATTCTCAATGGCTAAGTTGGGCGAAGCCAAACATGTCCGCTAAAGATCCTCACACACCACTCTGAAATGCTCGTTGATTATGTGACAACCCAAAGCTCACAAGCAATTTGTCGATCAACTTATGTGGCCTTCGGTTCAAGAGGACTGGTAGTAGTACTCTTCGTATCAGTTTCTCTACTGTGTCAATTTGCAGGTGAGTTTTGCGGGATGAGAAGAAATGCCTTGTTGCGCGACGTGAAGGAACGAATTTTACCACTGAAATGAGGCTGTATCTTGTGGAGTACCTTACGTGCCCGTTGGCAACAATATCCTAGTAGGTGGAGTCATCTTATCCCAACACCAAATACACATGCAACTCTTTGCACGACAGTTTGGGAGGAATATCTTGGCTTTCTTCCAGATAGATTTTCATGATTCTTTTCTGTCAATTTTCATTTTATGTGAAATTTTACCCTGCACGGAGAATTTATGTACTGATCAATGGTTGCAACTCTATAAAGACAGTGGCAAATCATGCCGGAAATGTATGGATGAAGCTGTCAATGACCAATTTTTAACTGCCATCTGTGGGACAGATGGGGTCAGCGACACGAGCTTCTTTTGGGTAAGATAAAAACGATGGGCAAAAAGGGCAGTGGTAAAACGTTTGGTGTAGCTGAGCCAATTCCATCAAAGTTCGGTAGGCTTTTACGAAAAACTATATGGCTCTTCTACAGCGCAGGACAGGAAATGAAGTTTGACAGGCTTCTTCTAGTGGATGGCATGGGAAGCGTCGAGTCATTTCAGAGGAGTCGATGCTGAATACTTTCCAGCTGCCTAGAAAGTGCAATTAGTTTGTTTGTGGAAGGAACTCTGTCTTGCCAAAGACGTTGCAAGATACAAGATATGGCTGCTTATCGATGTCCACAGCGTTGTTAGTTTCTATCCAGATGACCTGAATGACTGTCTGGAGTTGTGGGAACCTGGGATGATGGAGGCCTAGCACTAGGTTCCTACCCCATCCACTTTTCTTCTTTTCTTCGCAAAGAAGACAGACCCCAAAGTAAAGAACCGACTGTTTAGAGCGAACAAATTAAGCGGACAAATTAGGATAAATAAGAGGCAACAGTGAAAATAATAGTTGAACGGGTGGACAACCAGACGAAATAAAAGCACAAGACAGCACAAAGCGCATTCAGGGCGAAAAGAATATGAACTAAAAGGGTGTTATCTGGTGGACCAATCAAACTTAAGAGAGATAGATCACGTTGCAACAAACATCGCATAAGAGCTAATCAAACTGTAAAGGCACTCTGAAGTTACCAATCGCGTTAGTGTCATAATGTGCATTCAAAAAACCGTGTTAACGCAAGCAATAGCAGATGAATGATCCATCCAACCGCTCTCCAGCAACGTATTCTCGAATGATGACGAGACGTTTGCGAGTAAATTGCCATGGTCGAGAACAAATCAGGCACCATCTGACCAATTGCCAATTTACCTACTCGAGATACTAACATTCCGGCACACTGCAAAGCTGTATTCGCAATGATAACTGAAAAATCCCCCGTTTTATTCGAGCTCAGTTACTGGTAGGAAAAAACCCTGATCCGTTTCGACAGATACTCTCATTTGCACAAGAAATTCGTTTTAAGAGGTGACACAACTGAATCCAGCCGAACCTCTCTTTTGTGACGGCCAAATTCAATTGAATATGCTTCATCAGGCCGCTCCATTTTTAAGTTGGTAGGATGTTCAGTATATCTCAGTACATTGTTTAAACGTGGAACGCTCCACATAAAGTTTCTGACGACCGTAACAGCTCACGACCGGTTTCGACCTTCTTGAGGCTCACTACCCGAGTTTCTGTTCTGTCAAATTTCTACTTGAACCAAAATTGAACAGATGTCAACAAATACGTTCATTTGCGTACAAACTGAATCAGGTGGGGCGCACACTTAACTGACCACAGCTTATCTGGAAAGTGTGAATCTAGCTAACTAACAAATTCTATCAAATCGAAATTTGGCAGGATGAGTCACTTTCATCTTGATCGCATGACCATTGGGAAAACTCAAAAAGCTACTACTGCACGATTCGACTGCGAAAAAAACAGGCGGGAACAGGGTACACTAAATATCACCTACAAATACAAATCTCGCAAAACCTCAAAATTGCAACATTACAAAAACTCTAATTCCTAGCATAAAACGATGAGGCAGTGTGGTGCAGGAACGCAAAACACTGGATCCCTGTCACTTCCAGGCAGTGCATGAGATGCTGAATAAATATATAGTTCACAGATGAATTTAAGCATGACTTTTTCGTCAGGAAACAAACTGAAGTAAAAACCAAAGGTTAGAGTGTTCTTTTTTACCACTCACCAAACCTTCCGGTTGGGTAATTTTATCCCAGTCCAGGATATTATCCTTGTGTTTGAGGTACCCTCTATAGAGTCGCATGAATGTTTCTTCGTCAATTGGGTATGCTTCTCGCTCGTCTGTAGGCAGACTCGTGACGAGGTCCCTGAGTGCCTGACGTAAGTTGTTCTCGCCATCGCTGAATGGAACTTCTCTGAAGCTACTTTTCGACTGTAAAATTCCTCGGGTAGGATAAGCAGATACAGACATTATTTCAGGTAGGAGGAGACATCGATTTTAGCTCGTTTGGTAACTGCACGGATAATCGACATTTTGACCGATTCGAATGGTTTGCTGACCTTGGCACGTGTGGTAAGTAGGATTCGCGTTATCTCGTCTGCAAGTATTTTATAATTTTCAACAGAGATCAACGGTTGGTGATTCAAAAGTTCATCTTCAAGTACAGTAAGTGAATAGAAGGTAAGGTATGTCAGTTCTTTTTTCTGCAAACTAGGTTGCGTTGGAAGTGGCGACTCGGGATTAGTTTTACCTGCTGGCAATATATCTAAATATTGCAAGCTTGTGCGCCCTAATTAGAGTTGTAAATCAGGCAGCTGTTGGTTAAACTTCGAACAGTTCTGCGAAATGAGTTCCTGCATGGCACTTATTCAAAATTTCCGTTGTTCATACGTACATTGTCATCCAATTCAAGGAATGCACCACCAACATAATGATCCGACAAGAAACGCGGATGAATACCAAGCGGAAGGAATCAGAGATAAACGCTGGACACAAGATAGCAGTGCAAAATGCTGTAGTTTCGAGGAGGGGGACACGACTCATACCACAGCTACTAATGGCTGGGGCTGTAGAAAGCACCAAGCATCTCAGTGGAATTAGCGAGCGTCTGCTGGAGGGTTCTGGTTCAGTCGACCTGACATGCAGCTGTTTGGTTCTCCGTGAACAATCCCTTATGCAGGTAGCTTTGACCTGGAATGTATGGCCCAAACAAATTAGAAATCCACATAATCTCAGTTCCTAACCAAATTATTGTGGCACAGAGAACAACAAAATCTACAGGTGATACCCAAGGAGTCCTTAATCGCAGCATCCTGAACAGGAAGACCAAAGACCCAAACCCGTCGTGGTGCTTATGCTGGCCGGCGAGATCATTTAGCGAACATTCCACGCTGATCTAGTATGCTCCTCGGGAGAGATTTTGTTGAGTTGTTTTCCGTTTGCCTTGAAACTCAGTCAACCTGGTAAGCGACTCACTCGGTCTGACGAAGCTCTTGTGTCGAAAGCAAAAGGTCATTCAGCTATAAACCCACCGACTGTTCTGCGTTCTGAAACAACGACTGTTCAATCAGTTCTGAACTTTTTCAACTGATTGAAAATTAAATGTTTTGCTGACTAATCACAACCATTTCCTTGTGGATTTTCGTAATTATCAACATTTCCGATATTTGCCTCCCTTTTCTAGACATTCGTGTACTACCACTGATCCCACTATCGAAGGAAGGGCGTCTTTTTATACTATGTATGAATCTCGGTAGGTGGTGCTGTAACAGACTGAGTTTATCGTTGACTGTTGTCAATATTGCAAATTGCTTCACCTCGCTTGATAGGATTCTGGTCATGAATTTTTCGTTTCTCAGTTAGGAAATCTGCCTTGCTTTCTGTGGTCGAATAACCCCTCTGCCGGTATGACTTTATTGACGACCCATCGATGGACTCGTTTGCTTAAGATTACTTTCTACCATCATGCAGCGTATATTGGTTTCGAAGGTCAAAATAGTTGTTCTTTGGATTGCGCCTAGTGGCTGTACCTCATAAACGAACAGTATTCGTTTGACCTAACAAAGGGGGTGATCTAGTAGGCCCCTTCATTTTGCATGTCCTTGTGTGCGCATATGAGCGCCGCTCGTGTCATTCGCCACACTGGGTATGCACTATCGTCGCGATTCCCACGCATCCATAAATAACAGTCTTCACTCTGTCTCAAAGATTCTAGTCGAACTTTTGCCGTGCTACACTAATCTATTATAGACTCTTTCACAGTCCCAAAAGAGCCCGAACCAATCAGCAAGATCACCGTGTGAATGACGTGCCCTAAGCTCGATTCAGACACGAGTCATGCGAGCAGATGATAGCTCAAACGGAGTACAGGGTCGTCTGTAAATCTCAGTAGCGGAACTCGTATGCAGCGAACGAAGAATAGCAAGTGCGCATTACAAAATGTTCGACTGCTTAGATGGCGACCTGATTGGTCAGCATGGTGTACTTATTATCAGAAGACAGGGAAATAATTCTGTCGTCACCAGACATTCGTGTTACCCTGACGAGTGCCATTCGCAGCACTATGTCGTTTCAGGATGCTCATTCAACCCTTATACAAATATACAATAGCAGTTCCCTTCAACCTTCATAATCCATAAGTCAACAGCCTTCACACCACTGATACGCCATGATCAGTCTGCTTATGTGTTGTGGTTTGGTACCTTCGCCTGTTTTTATCTAGTCATAGATGAAATAAATCACCACTTTGGAACGCCATCTGGTTCGGACCCGTAAACGACTAGTGCAATGAGCAAACACCAATGTAGGACCGACGTACGTCTAACCGCAGAGTAGTCGACTTTCTAGCTTCTACTGAAGACCCCAGGCAGAAGGGTATGGGAGGTTACAAAATGTCGGTGCGGCTCGACTTCCAGGATGAGGTTTGCGTGATCCCCCCTGTATGTGGTTGGAGACGCTGCAAGATGTGGCTGCTACTCGATATCAATGGCTGTCTTGGCAGTTTCCGTCCAGTGTCTGAAAGTATAGACAATCACTAAGTCCCCTCCAAATCCATTCTTCTTCACAACAAGGCTTTAAAATAAGTTCTGGTGTCGAAAACCAATGTTGTGCAGTCGAAGATGATGAAACTCTGCAGCTATCACCATGACAAAACTCTGACAGTATCTCCAATTCGACAACGAGCATCGTGAATGCTGGCCGTTGAACCTTGTGAAATTAATGGAACACAGTACTATCGCTGACTAAACATGAACTGCTGCTACAATCACGCAATGTTCCGCTGAATGTGTAGCCTGTACAATCATCATCATTGCCAGCTGTAATAACCGCGTACTTGTCGTACAGTGGTCGTAGCTGCCACAGTTTCGTTCACCGATGATTCGGGGTGGGGTAGGTAGCTGCGCGGGAGCTGATAAACTAGTGCGTACAATTTTGATACTTTTACAGTTGACACCAATCTCTTAAGTTCTTTACAAGTAGGTTTTCTTCGTATTTCACTCCTTCGTCCAGAGTAAGGTTATTGGTGAATCTCACATCTTGGAAACATCATAAAACCCCTCATTGACATCCAGAGTGTGGACGAGTTAGCTTTGTCCTCCGAGTTGTGGAACTCACTGTCAATATGGATTAAAATCACAAAGTACCCGACGAACATGGAGACTTTGAGAAAAAGGTTCCTAACTTTGCCCTGAACTTCCGGACATCGATAAAACCTGTCGAGGAAGCCGAGCGGTTCGGCAGCGCCTTGAACTGCCCAGGAGCATCAGCAGTACTGTACTCTACTGTTGGTGATCTTCAGAAAGGATTTCTCCATAAAAATCGATATGGGACCAAGCCCGTATTCCTTGTTTCTTTATCAGAAGGCAACTGACATTGCTTCATGAACTTGATCTTGAGCTGTAACTACCGCAGTTTCTTGCACTAGAATTGAGTGCCTATAACGGCTTTGAGCCATGAAGAATTTATTAATTCTAATGCACGGATGTGTTCTGCGGTCATGCATTTGAGAGGTAATATAGTGGATACATACAAAAGTGATTGATTCAACGGATTGGCCTCCTATTTTGCTTCCACAAGCACTTCATGAACTTAGTGATGCATCCAACTTTGATAAGTTCGCAAACTGTCTAGATTCTATATATCCCCGATTATTTTTCTATTGAAGATACATAAGTATAACGGCGCGATGTGCTAGAGATTTATCCTGATACACAACCGCCATTAAACACCGAATCTTCATCATACGATCACCCTATTAAAGGACCGAATTCCCTTGAATATTTCTTTCTCACACTGCATCGGTGTATACTACTGACAAAACAGCAACAACAGTGGCAACTAGTATTTCGCAAAAATAAACCCGCAATTAATCGACAGTTGAGTTGGAATTAACTACTCTATTTCTATGTTCTGCCCTTGATGTCAACCATGCGAGCAACACTTGAAGAAGTTCGGACAAATGCCCAAAAATATTGGGTTTCGAAAATTATGGTAATGAGTCTTTTGAGTTCGTGTTCGATTACTCGTGCGTGCTTCACTCAGGTCAGCCGTAATAATAATAATAAACAGTGATAGATGACACTAGAGACCAATTCACCCAACTGTCACTGAGGTCGTTTGACTGTAACTGGGGAAATCGCTTTCCGGCTCATCGGATGGACGGGGACCCCGAGACGGGCCATATCAATGGTTAGAGACATTGTCAGACATGGCCCAGTTGCGCCCTCAATGGCGCTCATGCATCCAAGCTATTGCCTTCAATGCACATCTCCCTTCCCAATCCCCACAATTAACAGCTCACCTACAGTGCTGTATTTACGCACTAATTTATCAGCTCCTGCCTCTAATGTGCAGCTACCTACCCCACCTCCCCGGATCATCGGTGAACGAACTGTGGCAGCTACAACCACTGTATGACAAGTACGCGGTTATTACAGCTGACAATGATGATGATGGACTATCGTATGTGACCTGTGTCACGGGCGTCCTTGCTTGGTGGGTTACGGATGGGAGAGCCAGAAGATCCAAGGATACCGATGCATTATGAATAATTAATACATGTTTAAGGTGCTGGTAAAAAGAGGAGTTTTTGAGCATCCCTGCGGTAAGCGATCGGTCAAATCGGCAAACCCGATTCCTACCTTCTTTTATATGTTGGTTCTACACATGTACGGTACCTAACGTATTGTACTAGCTATGTTGCTGTTCATAGGACACACCTTGCTCTCGATCAGTTAATTAGTTTTATAAGCTTTGTATAAAAATCCGTCTTTCCATATCCAATTTGAGCAGGTCAACAATCAGTAATTCCGTTGGAAATTTCGTATGAGCAATCGACCACACACTTTTTCAACGTGTTGGTCGATTTTTACGATGAACTAGACAAGCATTTCAAATAAGTCTATCCTAGTTGATGTGGCACGTAAGTTTGTGGGTTAGCATAGATAGGATCCATGTATTCGGGTGCTTGAAGCCATTTTGTTTCAGCCACCACAGACATGTTTCCACTGTGCCAAATGCAACCGTTCCTCCGATCTCATGATGTTGCGTTTTGTTGGACCTGGATGTGTGAACTCGACCACCAAAAAACACTGCGTCTTTACGTGTTTGCCTTCGTTCTTTGTCATTGTTTCGTGGTGTTGCATGAATCTGAACCAAACTAGAGAATAAACTTGAGTGGAATTAGTAGAGGGAAGATGATGGGATTTCAAGGACTTAAGGGCATCAATTGACGATGATACTTGGCAAAACAGCTAGCAGAACTCCGTTCCATTTGTATGTCTACCGAAATGATGTGAAATGGGCCTACTCCGGAGAAAAGCTGACAAATCTGATGCATGTCATTCCGGAGAACGATCGTTTCAAACGATCCGCACCATGCAATTTAGATGGACAGGTGACCCACAGGGCTAACCAATTAACTTGTAAGTTCCACTAGCCCCGACTAAGGTTCCGAAGACGTGGGCACGTTAGACTGTCCGTGATACACCGACACGATGTGGTGTTTACTACTTAAATTATTAGGCTAAGTGAAACGAATTTCTAGACTTCAGTTATACGACAAGCGGGCGCTCAGAACCTCTGGTTCACTATACGAGACGCCATCGACAAGCTGATGCGTGGAAGACAGGTGTGGCTCACACCCAAGGAACAAAACTTGCTCCCCAACGGAAGGACAGCTGAAACAAATATATCCACTCCTGCTGCGCGGAATGGAATGAGCGAATACAGGCTTGTTGTGCCAAACCTTTATGAAAAGCTAAAGGGCAAACACGTTGTGCGGAGCGATATGATCTGTCACACAAATCATTGATCAACTACTCGAGTTGGGATAAACAGCACCTAAAAATACTTATGTACTAAGGACAAAATGAAGCTCTTCAGGCTTAGGAAGTGCTGATGGTTTTCGCCCACAAAATCTGAAGGAAAGAAGCGAAAAACCGAAAAGCCAAGATTTAAATACAAAAATATCTCCTATCACTTTGAAGTGGTGGGTGTGGCTGGTGGTCGTTCTAAGGAACAGTCTCATGGGCGAAATTCGGTGGGAGTAGCACTGAGCGATGTTGTCGTTCATCCAGCTGTAGGGACTGATCCTTCGTCAGAGGACCAGACGCTTTGTTGTTGGCCTCCGAAACGGGCTTGTTCTCGTTTACCTTAGTTGACACGGTCTCAGTTCGAGACCGCAGAGCGGCACATCGGTCTCTGGCTCGCATTGGTCGCCCCACCATCCGTTTGGAGTGATCTAAGGTGATGGTAGACGAAATCGTCTCGAAGTCCCACTTCTCCAGCGAACGCTGTACATCAACCGTGTCGGGGATAGTCACGTAACGGATGCGTTTGCCAAAGATGGTGATCTCCTGTTTGAAAACGGGAGGTAATGGCGACGTGAGAAAGTAAGAAGGGTGATAGCGAACTATTTGAGAAAATCTCAGTCCATTCAGGATGGTATTTATACAGTGGTTCGTATTGTATCGTGAGCTTCTATCTTGTTGAGTGATACAAATAATACCAAGCAACATCAAGGTAGTGAGCATATAGAAACCGACGGTGAAAAATAGCACGTCGTTTAACGGAGGGATGGTAAATTTGATGGTAGAGACGAGTATCTGAAAGCTATTTCTGCGTGCAAAAAATTATCAGCCTAGTGTTGATAAGTAGGGATAGGTATGGTCTCAGTGAATATTAGTAGTCTCAGGCACGCGTTGAGTAAGAAAACCGAGAATTACCATGTGGGTCAAACACAAGATATGTTTATACTACATGCTATGCGGTCGATGTGTGTTAGCTGGCTGGCTCACAACAATATTTTCAAGTAGTGCACACCCACTCTTTTGAATGATATCGATTTGTGCTGCCAATAGAAGTGTCATCGAAGCAAAATTAAATCTTGCTGTTCTGTGGCTGTCTTATCAAAAGGGGACGTTTTGCGGCTACAGCTGATAAAAATAGCCGGGTTGCCACAAACCACAAATTATGTTTTCTTGCTGTGCAGTAGAAACGGGTAGAGAAGACCCATTTGTCTCAAAAGCCACGTCACAATTTTGGCATCTGGGCCGATAAAAGTTAACTTGAATCACGTTCAGGAACTTATTACGGTGTGAGATAAAATTGGATGTTGAGGGTGTTGGCTGTCCGATAATATTCTGTGGGTTTTACTCACCACTGCCCGTACTCCAAAAGATTCAACTGCAGTTGGATAAATTAATTATTCGCCCTGTCATGAAATATGACAGAGAGAGTAAATACGGTGGGGAAGGATGTCTGGGACAGGACATTTGTGAATGTGACTTGAGGAAACGGATAACGCTGTCGGCATGAGAGCATGTCAACTACTCTCATTTGGTTTTGATGAAAGACGCGACTGAATGCACTGCAACAGACCGCCTGATCTTTCAGTTGGTACGTTATTCAAGATATCGCAATACATTATCTAGACTCAACACACTACTAACAGGGCTGCTGGAAACCCCTCGACAAGAAGGGCAAAACTTGTCTGGGCTACTGAAGAGTTTTCAGCAACCCTACAAGTAGCATGCAATATCGAGACAATGGTCACCGGGATTTTGGAAAAAACAGCTTGAGTACAGGGAGACCAACTACAACCATTAGCTGGGGTTACCTCGATGTATTTCACGTCGGTACGTCTTAGAAGACAAATAGTAGCCATAAATGATGCCAAGCGAGCTTGATTGGGCTTAAGTGAAGACAGGGAGGAGATAAAATCTTGGCGACTTTGACTTTCAGACAGTTCATTCAATTCGGTTTGTGACTTCACAACTAACCACAATGTATCGGCACACTTACACCGGAGGAAGGAATCAGGAACAGATGGGTCATGGAAGAAGTATGGGACAAAAAAGAATGGAGAGAGTGACGCGTTGTAAAACGTCTGTTTGTGTTGGTAGTGATGAGGACCTTCGGTTATCCAGACATACGAACTGGGTCCGGTTAGCACAGTAGTCGTGTATAAGCTGCCCATTGCTTCTGTCGACAAGAAGCTGTGACAACATGCCACGACCGACACGGAAATAACGAAGTTAAAAAGTGACCAACACATGGTTTCGGCTTTTCCATTGACTACTGAAGAAACCGAACGCAAAATAGTTTCGACAGTGGCCAGTGTGGAGTGCAATGTTCGGTGAGCAACGTAATTTGAGCTGGTCATCACTGAGAGCTGATATCGAAAATGTTGTTGCACAGTGGAGATTACTGAGGGTTCTCAAGCGGGTTGATTTCACCCGAAAATGCGTTGGATATGGATTCTTCTCTGACAAAACACTGAAAGCAGCCGATAAATAATCAGTCTAGGTCTATGAAACGGTTTAAAAGCTTCGTTTTAGATAAAACACACAGGAGGAAAAGGTCACATAAGCTTAGACATTGGTAGAGCATGTCAGTATTGGGTGAATACGATCGGTTACGTAAACTTTTAGTCTGCACAAGGCGAGTCAAGAGAACGGGTGAAAACGTCAAGCGCAGCAACGAGGCGCGATACAAACGAGACGAAACAGGCTAATTACGGTTGGGGGGAGGGGAGGCTGTGTTGCTCTTTTTCTTTTACAATTCCATTTCTACGAAATTGATTTGCCATTGGACAAGAATATCATGAGACAAGGAATAGCTAGGCCGCGGTATCGAGAAAAATCCAGACTGAACAGTGCACTGCTGATAAGCATCGAACTCCTTTGATCAGGTGTGGTACAACGAACACAAGAACAGATGTGATATTTGTCAGATGCGAAAAATCACATCAATTATCCAATCTCCAACTAAAACTCGCATAGAACATAGATAGGACAAATGTCAATCTACCTTAGATCACAACTCCCATAAGTTTTCTATTCAGTTTTGGTCGAGTTATCGTGGAGAAGGTTCCGTTCAACATAGGATAAATCGGGATTTATTTCATTCTGTAAGATAGTCATATCCTACCCTCACAAAACTCATCCAGAGAATGAGTGGTTTCAAACAGGCGGATAAAACCCTACGCTAGCCGCATGCTTGAGTTCCGTGCATCGAACGAATTTTCAGATTGGGCTCCGTAGTCTGTACATAATTCACACGCAGAGCTTTACAATGCGAATTAGTCTTTCTGTTAGCTGCCTTACGAATGTCAGTCGGTCCTCACATGGTTGTATGCATTTACTTGGGATAACATATTTGGTCAGAAGCACTCTGCTAACCATCGTTGATAATCTCCTCGGAATCGTTCCGTCGTTCGTAGACAGCTGAGGAACACTGTGAGATTCTATGATAACTAATGACCATACCAACTGAGGAAAACATACATACATTCCGATCGCTTTATAGACAAAAGGCACCTCAAATACAGAATCAGAAGGTATCGGAGACGAAGTGTAAATGGTTGTCTCATAAAAAAATCCGGTGAAAAATTACTCTGTGTACTAGGAATTGCAGGTGCTGAGTGAATTAGTTGTTCAAAAAGTATAAGCAGACTTTAGAAGTATATGTTCAGCCAAGAATAAACACTACAAGATCTCCGATATTGTGCCAAGTGAAACATGAAGTGGCCTTTGTACGGTACTCAGTCCAAGAATACTGTAAATGAGGGATTCGGTTGCGTCTCTTAGTAACACCCATGCAATTCGAAAATGAGTACGCTTCGTCAACGTACAATTCGATATTGGGAGTAGAAAATATGGTTGACCGAAACTCGGGGGCTAAGTCTATCTAATGATGTCCAAGTAGGACAAAACCGGTTGTAAGCTGTCGGAGTCTTCGGCAATCTTTGAGTCATGTATTCGACCAAGAAAATACAAGTAGATCAAATATGGTGGCACATAAGGTCGAAGGTTAGCGATGACACATGTACAAGAGCTTACCCAAACGTGATGTTGTTGCCAGTTGTGCAGCGAGCGAAAAATCAGTGTGAAGCATAGCTTTAGTATACATTTGTTTGCTGGATAACAAAACACGTCACCGGTTATCTTAACATGCAACCTGATTGGACTAGTTGACATAGCCTTGTTCGTTTAGCGGATGTTGCAGACATGAGATAAACGATGAATCTGAACTTGAACAGCAAATTAGGGTGACAAATTTGAAACACAAACACACAACTGTTTACGTTACTGAAAGCATCACAGAAGTGAAACGAATAGAGTTGCACAGATTAAATAAATACTGGCGGATATCTAGGCGAACGAATTAAATGTGAACCGAAGAGAGTTGTTGAGCTAGGTCATACGGATACTACTGACATATCGTAGTTCTCCGAAGATGGTGGATTGGCTTCTTGCTGACATGTGAGGACCTGAAGGAAGGTGAAATCAGGCGCGCGCGCGCACTATGGCGTGATCGGAGTCAGGCTGCGCGCCCCAGAAGGAATATTAGTCTTGAACCGTGGCTCTTTACCGGTGGCCAGGTGATCCAGTTAGGTCCGCGGCTGGTGGCTACCAGGTTACGCGGTGCGAATGTTTATGCTGGACAGAAACAACTGATGATAAGCACACGTTTGGAGAAGTCGCTCGCCGTTGTCTGTGCAAGCATAAACTCCAAATCGACAACCAAGAGGTGATTCCAAGGAACGAATTGGACATTCATGTCGCCCGGATAACTCTCGATAGGAGATATGCTTCACACCGTCAAAACTACGGTCCGTTGGGGCGTACATCAACACTACTAACATACACCACTTTTCGTGTCGAGGTGCATTGACCTTGATTGACCTGGTAACCAAGCGTCACAAAGACGACTGTTTACTGGGATGCAATCCATCATTCAGCTCTGGGGTTGAATGCAACTCCCACGTCATATATTCCACGAGTCATCGCTTTTGGATCAACGGACATATGGAAACTGAAGTGTAAAAAGGCTGAGTTAGTTCTTGGCGTTTTGAGATGTATGAGCATGAGCGCTTCAAAGGCAATATACATCAATTTTATGGAAGTATGAGGTCTCGGCAAGCACTGCCTGTTTGGCATTCTGATACAAAATACGGACGTTGAAAGCTTTAAGGTGAAAAGGATTTTGCGGACCAAGCAGTTATTTTGTTTATTGTTAACGGGCAACGGGGTTCATAAAACACGCCGGTCAGATAACTGGCAATCAAATGACCCAGCAACGTTTGCTTGTACAGGGGGAAGGGGTTGGGGAGGGACATCGGTGGACAAAGAACTGTGAGAACAAATGATACTTCCTGCTTGCCGAAGACGAGAGAAGGGTTTGGTTGAGGTACCCCACCTTAAGCCTTTGACTCAAAATTCTGACCCACAAGGGTCACAGGTGCACGAATACTCGCAGTACGAGGTCTCGCTGCTCTTGGTGTGATTGCTCTCCTTCGGCTTTCCTGACATGGTTTCACCTTTGGTCACAGCCAGTAAATCCCGCGAGATCATCGCAGCACTCAAGCTCGACCACCAAAGTGCAATAGCCCCGACAGGTGGTGAAACAAGCGATCCCAAAAAGAAAAAAAAGTTGAGCGAAAATCTCACCACGAACTATCTTCATGAATAAAACAACCGGGAGGAGTCCGAGGATCAAGCGTGAATGCATGTTCAGAGTCGACATGGTGTACCATATATCGTGTCCGCTGTCACGCAGAGTTTCATGCTGCGAATAAGGGCTTGACAGCGAAGCACAATATCTTCCACCAAACAGGCAACCATAAAGAAACTGGGTAGTAATATCAAGAGCTGATGGATTAAGGATGGGGAAACCAATCCTCATTATGAGTTAACGAGCCTTAACTCACTATGACGTATCAAACAAACGGAATCCCCCGGCAGTGCATCGAAGTGACCAAATATCCGGAAAATCTCACAGCAATCGATTGTACGCATTATTTGCGGTCTTGAATCAACTTGTTGTTCACACAACCACTCACCGGCGAGTCACACGGCGATCGGAATATCACCCATTTATTGACCACAAAAAGGGTTGAACTTGGTGTGGACAAGGTGAGATCAACAGAACTCGCTAGATAGGCTCACAAAACAGAGAAGCCATGTGGTTTAAGCGAAAAAAGAAACACGATGCACTTCGACAGGCCGACCTACCTTTATTCGGATAATTTCATCGTCAGAGTTCGCACATCGCCGCCTGATATTCACTCCACCATCGAGAACCAGATTCATCATGCCATCACATGAGCTCAGACGTCCAGTCACTCGAGTCTCGTCCAAAAGTGTCACTGTGACTATCTTGCCCAATAGAGCACAGGGAAATATGGCCAACAGAGAGGATCTCAAACGGTCTTTTGCTCGCCAATTCTCACATGCTTCATGTTTGTCCAAAGTGGCCTGTATACGGAAGATAAAAAAACAACAGGTCAGAATACCATTAACCTGCAGTGCCATGAAACAATGCTGGTGTCCACTAATGAAGGCCGAGGTTAGGATCCAAGATTAACTTATAAAGATAGGGACACTGAGTATTGGTTGATAAAGTAGCTTCTCTGAGTGCATGCATTTTGCCAAGTGGAATCTTCCGAACAAATAATAACATCTCACTGTTGCAAAGCACCTGGGTCGAACAAAGACAGTACCCTTTGTCTAACGACTCTCCATTCAACAATTACCCCGTTAATATAACCACGTGACCATAGATTTTAATGGCTAGATGACAGAAGAGATACGAGAAAGCGTACAAAAAGCCCCACTGAGATTAGCAGACAACCCGCTGCTCCGTTGTTCTTAACGAGAGCTGAACAACTTCGCGTCACCTCTGATCTACCGATGGACGGCTTTCAATCGTGAGCTCAAATTCGTCAATACGGTGGAAAATTTCCAGTTCACAAACGAAGTAATCGTTAAATAAGGATTCGAATATTTCGGATAATTGGCACCGTTCAAAACTGTTTGGCGATGAAACCAAGACTTCGCAGGTCACGCGTAAGTCACCTAGGATTCATTCCAACAGGGGAGCGTGTTTGACTACTGTCACATCATCATCATCATCATCGACAGCATGACATCAGCGTTCAACACCGATGCTTCACTGCCGTACAACCATGATTTATTTGAAAGCCTTATTGTAAAGAAAAGAGTAAAGGTGGACGAGGGAGGGACTTAGTGCTAGCTTAACCCAATCATTCCGGGGTGCCTACACCTCCAGACATTCACTCAGGCAATCTGGATAGAAACTGACAACAAGAACGCCACTGACATCGGTTGGCAGGGCGCCCATTTAGTCTCTCTAGCCAGACAGTGAGGATCATGTGGTCCCCATCCTGGAAGGCGAGTAGCACCGACAGCACCCAGGCGTTTTGTTTTGCCCTTCATACTCCTCTGCCAAGTCAAGGGTTGGCCACCTCTCTGTTTACACCACTCTGAATTGGGCATGGAAAACAGCACTCGCTTCGACAAACGATGGTTCGGCATACGTAACACATGTCCCAACCAACGCATCTTCTGCTGCTGAACACGTTCTTCAATGGAAATACCCGTTACACAACCGAAAACGCGCTTTCTAACTGCCTCGTTACGGATTCGCCGACGCCAACCCATACGAGCTATGGTTCTGAGACAACGATTGTCGAACACCTGAAGACGTCTCAGGTCCGCTGCTCGAATAGGCCAAGTCTCAC